AGGTAATTAGTTGCATCACGAGAATTAAGTATTGAAGTGTTGGTTAATTGTGGTTGAGTTTGAGATATCCCACTTTGATGAAAGATTGAAGATTGGAATAATGAGATGTGTATAAGAAAAAAAATACAACTCAAGAGGCTTAACTCATAAAGTTGTCTTATTTGGATGACTCTCTTTCGCAAAACAAATCTTATTATATGTGTGTACGTATGTGTATGTATATGTATCAATCTTCTTTATATATAAAAGCAAGATCCACAAGAAATGATGTGACACCCTAAGAATTGAGTATTCTAAATTTCTTGCATAGATGTTGAGTTTTGTATATCCCACATTGATGGAGAGATAAAAGATTGATAATTGATGGTAGATATATGAGATTTGGTTGATGTGTCTTTGTTTTAACTCATGGGGTTGGATACTCTTGGCTAATCCTATAAATTCATATCATTAGCTCATGTTGGCTAACCCTCTAAACTCATGTGGTTGGTTCATTTTGATCAAGCCTTTGTTTGCAAAAATGCCATATTTATAAAAAGAATCTTTATATATATAGGGCTCTCTCTATATATAAGTAGGTGTAACATCCCTCGTCAAAAACTCTAGACCAAGCTAAACCTTTATACATATAAATATAAAAACTACAAGCCTTGGAGAGTTAACAAAAGTATACAGCGTACAATATACAAAAATACAAGATCAAGTTATAAATAACATCACCAAGGTGCAACTTCAAAAGAAACATGATCAATTCTCAATCTCATCCCCGCCATAACTGCTACTAACCTGCCATGCATAAAAAAAAAATAAACACGGCTGAGCGACCAGCTCAGTGAACGAATTAGATAAACAAGAAAACTTTAATTGGATCTAAAATAAAACAAAGAACGGAACTAAAATCGTATAATCAATGACACATAATACAAAAGGCAAAATCAAGAATCACACAATCCAAATGTTTGCATCACCAAAGACGCGATGTCCAAGGGACGGCCAAATCCGCTCGGACGCGACTATCCAGTTAAAAGTATATGAAGAACCAAAGTTGCTACTCAGAAACATAATTATGATGGATTTGATACTTATAATCAAGTCATGTAAATCATATATTTGCAAATTATTGAAAGAAAATACCTAAAACAGATTTTAGATGGAAGATAATTACCTTCAATCAAGTATATCCCTAGGCCATTGCATGAGGTTGACCTACTAAATTCAAAGAAAAGAAACACACAACAAGAAGGGAAATAAATAAATAAATAAACCCTTTAGAACATTGAGAATAAGCAAACAAACAGAAATTTATCTATTAACTTCAATGTTTTCAAAACTGCCTCTTTGCAATCCATAACTTACTCAAACAAGACAATGCTAAGGATAAATTGTAAGTTTCCTATGAATTGCACACCATTTTTACAAGTTAAGGAGCATTGAGAATGGAGAACAAACTACTTCAAAAGAGAAATATTAAGGAACTCGAAGCATCCCTTATGTGTGGAGTGGACCAATGATTTCTACTTTAGCATATGATTAATTAAGAGGTTCTCATGATTAAATGATCAAAATTATTAAGAGGTTCTCATGATAGAGTGTAAAATAAAGTATAATTGTTTGACAATTGTCTACAATGAAAATAGGGCGCTGAATGGTTTAACGGAGGCCCATGATACAAAATCATTCAGAGGTTTTAGAACCATTAAAAGACAGACTTTTTTTTGTCAAACAAGATTCATCTCTTAACGATTCAAATATTACCTCATAATGGAATTGGTAAGAGGTAAACAAACAATTCTTAAATATATACCTCTTAAAATTGAATAATAACTATTTTAAGATGGTGTGCTGATGTAAAACTTATACATTTGAACATTAAAATCTTAATCTCTTAATTTTCAAGAAAACCATAACTCTCTTTTTTAATATACTATAGATATATTTTCAAGGAAAATCCAACCAATTTTTGTATTTTCGATCATTAAGTTTATGAGTTTTTGTATATATAAATTATTGAACTTATTAAAATTGTAAAAGTAAATAATTGAACTCAATGAAATAAAAAAAAAACAATAATTTTCATATTTTAACTGATTAGATCTCTTTTGAACAGATAAATTTTTATACTTTTAAAATAAAAAAAATAAAAAAATTATTATATTTTTCATGTATCAACAAATCAATTACAAAATACAACAAAACAATAAACAAAAAGTAATGATCATATAATTCTCATTTACATATGAAAAATAAATATTTATTATATTTTCTTATGTTTGAATTTGAACACTAATGGATAATGGAAAAGGTATATATTTGAATTTTTGTTACTGACGTATAAGAGCATCTCCAACCATTCGTCAAAATCTAATGATATTTGACGGGTCTTCAAATTGAGCGGCAATAATGTCGTGTCAATCTTTAACCGGCAAAACCTATGCAGATTTGGTGATCGTTTTCATATGGCCCACAAATTTGTTGGTTTAAGAGTGTGGTTTAAGTTGAGATGTTAATGGTATTACTATTTTTAGTGTTTTTAATGTTTTTTTACGTCAAGTTGGAGATGGTCTAACACTTTGTATTTATGTTGATAAAACTCGGGAATTTCTATTACCCGACTCCTGAAGTAGGTTTGGAATCTCTCAAAGATTACATGTTTGAAATTGTAAACGATCAAAAATTCAAATTTGGGTTTGCCCCAAAGATTGGTTTGAATTAATCCCTTCATTGGTACCATGTTCTTGGAATCGATCGAAGATTTCACACTACTGATATCAACCCACTTAGATATACAGGTCTTTAGTCTCTTAGAAGGTCAGAAATTCAAATCTCATCAAATGTGATAAAAAAAATGTGTAAATTTATTTGCTGCATTTGCCGAATATCTGGTTTCTTTCTGTCTCGCTAACACACAAGACGCCTCGATGCCCCAACACCATATAAGCATCGACTATTCGATGCAATGTACAACTATTAATACATGAAATACAAGTCACAATAACATGGGCATGAATCAAAACCATTAATAGCAAACAATCATACTCATTTTTAAAGAATCTTACAATAATCAACTAAAGTTACCAATGAGGCTGGAATTTACAAAAATAAAACCATTTCAAACTATTCAAATTTATGTGTCTTCTTCACCAATCTAAGCATATTCATAGCCCCTCAAAAGGGTTTATTTTCAAGTATTGACTCATTATATGAGTTCTTTACATAGAATTCATGTCGTCCTTTTCTTATTTTCATTTTGTTGGGTCCTATTTCCATAATGATGGAAATGGGACCCACATAATGTAAATGGAAAAAAAGACGTAAAAGGAAATAAATGAGTGAAAATCTTACCTGAATCTAACTACAACACACGAAATGTCGTCTTTACTGTCTCTCTTTAAAGCTTCGGCTACTAATCGCTTAGCAGCCTTTTGGGGGTCCTTGATTCTTCTTGCAATATCGACCGCTTCTTGATTATCCATCACCTGAATTACGTTGATCAACAAATCCTAATTAAGATACATGAAAATGTGATCATCTTTTGTAGATTTATATGAAACAGAAAGATGGAACACCTTCCAAAGACCGTCGCTTGCCAACACAAGGAGGTCGGTTTTGGAATCTACGATTGTATCTTGAATAGCAGGGTCGGAACGCAAATGGGATTTGAGGCTTTTATCTCCGAAAGCACGAGAAACCGCCAGCTGTCCATTCACTCGAGGGACATCCCCTGATGAAGAGGAACAAATCAATTATCAAAAAATCTCTCTAGTTGCTGAAAAGATTTCAAAAAGTGACAGCTTTTCCCTTGTTAAAGATCAAGAAAATAAAGTGGGTGTGGTGAATATGGTAGGCTAAAATGGCGGAGTTGCATCTTTTGCATTTAGAGAGGAAATGAAGGTGAGAAAGATCCCTAAAAATAACAACTTTGCCCCTAGTTGAAGGGTAAAAATTTAACTGGAGGCAACAAAAGGATGGCAGACTAGAAAACAGAAAAGTTGGCTTTCTTTGAGTTCATGATAGAAGAACCAAGATTCTTAAAAATGGCAACTTTGCCCTGAAGGGCAAGAGCTTTACTAGATTGAAGGACCAAGATTCTTAAAAATGGCAACTTTACCCCTGAAGGGCAAGAATTTTACTAGATTGATAAACTAAGATTCTTAAAAATGGCAACTTTGCCACTGAAGGGTAAAACTTTTACTAAGATTCTTAAAAATGGCAACTTTGCCACTGAAGGGTAAAACTNTTCTTAAAAATGGCAACTTTGCCACTGAAGGGTAAAACTTTTACTAAGATTCTTAAAAATGGCAACTTTGCCACTGAAGGGTAAAACTTTTACTAGATTGATAAACCAAGATTCTTGAAAATGGCAACTTTACCCCTGAAGGGCAAGAACTTTAAAAGATTTGAAGGCCCAAGATTTTTACAAATGGCAACTTTACCCCTGAAGGGCAAGAACTTTAGTAGATTTGAAGGCCCGAGATTTTTAAAAATGACAACTTTACCCCTGAAGGGCACGAACTTTACTAGATTGAAGAACCAAGATTCTTAAAAATGGCAACTTTTAACCCTGAAAGGCATGTATTTAACTAGATTGAAGAACCAAGATTCTTAAAAATGTCAATTTTACCCCAGAAGGGCAAAAAGTTTAGTGAGGCAACATGATGATGGTAGACTTAAAAACAGCAGAATGGGTATTTTTTGAGTTCACAGGGAAGAAAGGATAGAAGGACCAATATTCTTAAAAATGGCAACTTTACTCCTGAAAGGCAAGAACTTCACTAGATTGAACACCATTAGATTGTTTACATCCCAAACTAGCACATAAGAATACCTCATTGAAGTACTATCAACGAAAGTCAAACCGATGAATAGATTGAATTGTTGATTTATAGGTGCAAACCTGGCATATTTGAGACAAATCCTCCTTTGTGCTCAATGCTGACTCTTTCTGCACTAGGCTCATGATCAGTACTCATCTGTATGGCTTCACCTCCTTTTGAAAGAACAGCTCGAGAATCACCCAAATTCGCTACCCATAACCTTTGACGGTTTATAAGAACAGCGGTAACCGAAGTGGACCCACCTCGTCCCAAGTCAGAGTCATGTGTAAGAATTGCTTCATCAGTCTTCTCATATGCTTTGGATATCGATCGTTTTGGATCAACCCAAAATTCGCTCTGCAAAATTATCTCAAAATCAAACAAACCCAAAAAGGATCCATTCACATATGAATGAGAAAATAACAAGTGGTTGACTTTTTGAACCAAGTATGTGGGTTCTTGTGGCTAACTAACCATCATTCTTATGAAAATGCCAAAAAAAAAACTTGATAGTTTGCAAGAATTAATAAAGTTAGACACCGTAGAGATTCAAAGAAAAACAAACGAATATTGTAAATCGTACTGAAAGTAGAATATGGGGTGAGATGTACACAGACCTGACCTCTACCCAAAAAAGTCGAGCAACAATTTCAGTAAAGACCCCCAGTAAAGATGTAAACGCAAAAAAAGAAATATATCAGAATTGCCATTTTTGTCCAAAATCACTCGTTCTTGCTCAACATAGTCTTTTTCCCCCCAATTTTGCAAGAACATTAATTTGTTTGAAACTAAAAGCCAGGTACGATGATTTTGAAAAGCATAAAAGATGCACCTCACTCAAGATGTTATCGAACAAATGCTTCTGAAGGTATGAAGGCACGCGATCTCCCGAATGGCCATCGTAAATGGCAAATAACCCGAGCTCGTGTTGCTCTATTTCCACAAACCTAGCAACATGATAATCCTCCATTGGATGATTAGCTTTTCCTTTAACTAAGTCGAAACCGAACTTGACACTACCCTCATGGTTTTTTCCCTTACCAGAGCTATACGATGATGGGCCTCCTATGAACTAAAACAACCAAAAAACATTAGAAAAGTACAAAAACATGGTCTTAGTCTTATCATCTTATGTTAGGATCATTAATCATACAATACAAAATAGTAATTGCAGGAATAGAAAACATTACACACAATCATTAAGCAACTTGATGGTTATTTAAGAAAATAACCTTCTCACAGAGTTAAGAATGTCTTTGCCTAACAGAAGAATATCTCTTTCTAACACAAGAATGCCTCAAAATCTATCAGAAGGTTGCGCATTTAATAAAAATATATCACAAGGTTATTCTCCTAAATATCCCAACAATTTGCCTCCATCCACAAGCATTGCTAGGATTTCAAGATTCTTGGTGATATCTAGAATTGTACAAAGATGAAAGCTAGCACCATTTATAAGCAAAATTCATACCAAATAACGATAGGAAATCTATGCCAATAAGAAATATTGTTTAGTTATGTGATTTTTATTCAAAATACCATTTTCGAGCATAATTTTATCTCATAACACATGTATATCTCGTTTAAAATGAACATTAAAGATTTCTGTAGAGACAACCTATATGAAGAAGTTCTAGTTATTTTTTCACAGAACAAATAAACATCCGGAGAGATACAAAAGATCTTTTGAATTAGCAAAACCAACCAAGAATCTACAACAATATTTGGCAGACAATGCCTCATAAAGTTAAAAAGTTGGTTTTTCATTGCAAAACAACAATCGTTCTTGCAAAAACGCCAAGAAAACAAACACCATAACTCAAAAGACCAATGGTTTGTTTGCAACAAAATACCAAAAATGGTGATTTGCTTTTCAAAAAAGACCAACTTTGAACCAACAATGATAATGCATCACCAAAAAAACCATTCTACTTGTCATTTCTTTTCCCAAAACCTTCATTCTTGCAAAGTGAAACTTTCTTTCTTGCATTTTTTTGATAAAAAAACAATGGTTTGTTTGACTTCTAAGACTCAATTAACTCTTAAAGTACAAGTCTTTGATGGGCTACTACCACTAATTTGCTTTGTTCTTGACATAGAAACAGTGGTAAACAAAGAGAAATGAAACTGGATTTGGTTAACAAAGTACAGCCCTGATTATGTTAATCTTTACAATTATCCATTAATCAAAGCAGAGAGCATACAGATCAATCCAGTAAGAATCAAACAAACCCATCTCAAGAAATAGCTAACACACAGAAACCCTCATAAACATATATTGAATTCGATCATCTAAACCACATAGCAAGAACAATCAACTGATAAACTGAAAGATTATAAAGTAAATAATGGTATAGATTACCTGCAAACAGCATAAATTTTCCATCAAATAATCTCCAAAGAAGAAACGATTCTTAACATCCAACAATTTGAAGCCAAACCCGCTTCAGAAAACAATAAGATTTACGATTTCACCAACAAAACGATCAAAAGATCGATTATCTACAAAAACCCTACAAACAGAAACCCAAAAAAAGAAATAGATTACAGATTCCAACAAGTATTTGCTTCTACGAAATAAATATGATTAAAAATGGTAGTGTCAATTTTGTAGTCAAAATTCTAGGTGTTGGCATTCAAGATAGAGGCTTAATTTTGGTATAAATAAAGAGCGTTTCAGTTCTTCTTTCGGCATTATAGAAAGAAAAGAAGACTCATTCGCGCGTTGACTTCAGATGATTCTTGACCAATGCCGCGTCGAATCCTCGATAGAATTTACCATTATGACCCTTTCCTACAATATTAATGTGATCGTGTGGGGTTTCACATTTTGTGAAATGTAAAACGATATATGATTTTTTTTTATTAAAATACTTGTATTTCAAATAATTGATGTAAGAAAATTAAATTTTAGTTTTTTAGAATTAGATATTAATTTTATATTTATAATGACCGTAAATTATGCTAAAGTTATGTGATAATTAAGGGGTGTACGTGATAACGATATAACTCGTGAGTTACTCGAGATCAGCTCGGTCAACATTCGACTCGAATAAGCTCAGCTTAAACTCGACATATTAACGAGTCAAGTCGAGCCACCTAATACTCGACTTGAGAAGTTTGTGAGATACTTGATTCTTTTTATATATAATTAGTTTTAAAAATATAATCAGTCTTATACATTTTTAAACATGTATTAAAATTTTAAATATTTAAACAATATTATACATTTTTAACTTTAAAAACTAATCAATAATTTTTTTAATTAAAATCATAATTAAAAAAGATGAAAAACTATAAAAGTGTTGGTGAAGTTTGTAACTTTGTCTTTTATATGATAAAGTTTGAGGTGCATCCTTTTAGTTTTATATAAAACTAGTATGCGAATCGCGCGTTGCGCGGTAACATGAGTACTTTGATTAATGATCTGAAGATCGTCTATATAAATATATATTGGTTGTTAATAGAATCATCAACAAATAGTATTCAAATAATTCGAAAAAGTTAAATATAATATAATTAGTGAAATTTTAATACACACACACACACACACACACACATATATATATATATATATAGAGAGAGAGAGAGAGAGAGAGAGATATTTGTTTAGAAATAAAGTTGTAAAACTAAATAAAATGAATAATAATAACGACGGAAATATTAAGAAATCTGACACAAACTCAAGAATAAAAAATACTTCACATAAATATATGTTTCCTTCAAATATTTCAACTTACATTGATGTAAGAAAATCAATTGAAAGAAGCAAAAAAGAACCATATTGGAAAATTTAAAATATACGATGAGTCAATCCTAAGGTATTGTAGAAATCTAACTTCAACTTTTCGTTTTCTTGCTTTGTTGTAAAAAGGAATCTGTAAGTCTGTTTGGATTGACAATAAATTGAGCAATGAACACTTGCGCAACCAAAAGATAACTCATAAAAATTCTGGAATAAGAAAAAGAACTATCAAGAATATCATAAAAAAAATCAACTTGTAATATTGTTTTAACACATATAAAACAAATAAATTAGAGAAACCCCAAAAGATATTTATATTATACATAACTAACCTCAGAATGCAAAACGATTACTTAGCGGAGAGAGAAGCGTAAACGTCTTGTATGTAAAGAATTATGAACATCGATTGTTGCAATTAATATCAACAATCATGGCTTTCTTTTATATGCAAGATTGAGAGAGTCAACATGTGTTGCACCTTAAGAAATTAGTGAAAACCTTTAAACTTCTTCAATTAATTCCATCATATAATTGCATTATTAAAAATGTACAAAATCGTATATGATTCACGTAACAAATCATACATGATTTAGGCGACTTTACCCTGCAACTTAAGTGGCCTCAAAAGTCATCCACTTCAATTTAATGTAAAATTACATGTGAGTTTGTCCGTTAACGACATTTTTCTTGTTTTCTTAAATAGTTAGCGTTCCCGTTTGAACCTTCCTCTATGTATGTATTAATATAAATAAAATATATGTATTTTATATATTTGTGGATTCTAATTTCATTTAGAAAAAGATAAATATGATTGAAATTTTTTATTGAACCACATCTTGGTCTTATCTTAATATATTTTAAATATATATGATATATTGAGATATTTTGATATATATTGATTGATTTTTGATGATTTATTTTTTCAATTGTCATTACATAGAAATTTATATACATTGATGTAAATAAAAATAAATGTATGTACATCCTAATTTCATTTATAAAGGAAAATAAGATAAACATGATTGAAATTTCTCAATGAACCACCTCTTAATTCTTAAATTAATATATTTTTAATTATATATTGATTGATTGAGAAATTTTAATTTATTTTGATATATGTTGATTGATTTTGATGATTTTTATTTTTTCAATTGTCATGTATTAAAAATATACATTTATTGATATAAAATAAAATAAATAAATAAAAGAATAAGATAAATATGATAGAAATTTTTTCATTGAACAACCATTTGGTTCTTACTTCACACACCGCGTGTTGTACAGTGATAAAACTTGTTTTGTTACGTAATCAAATTAAGGTAAAACGTAATTTCATAATAAATTGTAATATAAGACGATGATTGCATTGCAACCCTTGCAATCATACATTTTAATTTTCCAAATAAACAAAAATAACCGATATAAATTACTGGTCCTTTTGGAGCAAACCATAAATTATACGTAATAATAATTATATATTTGACCAAAACAATGAACATAATTAAAAGGCCAAATATTGGAACAAATTTTATATGACAAGATTAAAATTAAAATTAAAATGATTAACTGAGTTCCCATTTAAGCCTTTTTTGCCAGCATCAAGAGCCCAAAAGACTAGGGTAACAACTTAACTAATTAAAAAAACGGCACCTGGACCGTGATACGGTGCACAACAGAAAAAGACATGCGAAACCGGGTGAGAATGATTATTCGATAGCAGTTAAGATCGACAATTCATCGAAACCCAGCCCCCTTTCGGCAGCGATACATAAAAGGCCAAAATACCTGTCGTATAGGGCGGAGGTACAACCTCTCAAGACCAATGTAGAAAGTCGTTTTCGAGCCAGTGACCAAAAACGATACCTAAATCGAAACCTTTAGCCGCATGATCAAGACCAGTGGTGGCAAGGCATACCCAACATCATCCATGGTTCATCAGTAACTGACCAAAAAAAGGAACAATCGTTGGTGGTCCGAAATAGTGGTACCAACCTTTTTTTTTACTGGTGTCGAGATCAAACAACTCACAAGGAGCGACGACCGACTCCTTGCCTAGCATAGACAGAAGCCGAGAGGGCAACAGTCCTGCAACAAGGAATAGCCGCAAGAAAACTATCATGGTTGGCGATTGCCAGAGGAGAAACAACCAAACCGGATCCAATAAAATTTTGGTACAATAATTTAGAATACTTTTCTAAATCTAAAACCCAAGCCGGATCCAATAAGACATTTAATTAAATTGTAACACACCATAGGGTGTTTAGGAATATACCTTTTACGATCCGGTAAAAAGTCTGATGTGACACTTAGAAATAGAGCGCAATTTCCTCTACAGTTGATCCACACACGAACACACGTAGATCATCCACTAGATGCTAGCCCAAAAGAACCCTAAGTCTAAATATGTGTATATAGACTGATAGCCAAAATTCAGAGAATTGAATTTTTCACTCTCGAACTAAATTGGCCTACACCCTATTTATATATTTTGGTATCATAGTCACCCTATAACTTTAATTAAAGTTTGATATTTATCTGTAAATAATTATATAATTATGTAAAACTTTAAATAATTATGCTTATTTTCATATAATACCTCGTATTATCATAATTACGTTTTAACACATATTATATAATTGTTCTTCAAGAATAATTATTTAACTGTTGATCATGACTTTTGGGTTACTTTTAAATGGAAGCGAACGTATTCTTTGTGTGCGGCCCTATAGGTTTACATATTCCTTAACAGTATTGTTGTGTGACACACGTCGTGAGCATATAATAACTTACATATACAAAAGAGCAATACCAATTTATCTTCCAGTTTATTTGATTCCTGCACTTATAGTACATCGCCAAGGACTTGCAAAACGGTATGTATTTGTTCATCCTCATGTCCTTGTGGTGATATTTTTCTTTCTTATAGCAAGTGTTATTATGTGGGACAACCTACAACTTGTGTTAACATTATTAAATTTTGATCATGTGTTAACATTATTAACTTGTTTGGCTTCACAATGTGTCTGCTACAAATTTTGATCATGTGTTTACTTCCATTTAACAAACCTGCACAGTATTTTATCATTTGAATCAGACAAATCTGGACCAAATGTTAACATTATTTCTTGGCTGTAAGATGATTTGCATTCTAATCCTTTAATTTATGTTTGGCATATTAAAGTTCTTTTTGGCATATTAAAGTTATATCAATTAATTGTTACCTTGTAAATCTACAAAATTGTACTTGGAGATAAGAACACGAGTATTTGCGTTCTTGTTTGTATTCTTCTGATCGTCTTTATAACACTTTCAGCTGATTATATTATAAGTGCAGTCTGCTAAAATGATAAATAACATGTTTTTTTAAACTTGTTATTTTTTTACTTGATGCAGGCCCTTCACAATATTGGCAAAAGGTCTTCTAGGTACTACAAGATCGAGTATGTTTCTCTCTACATACGCTACTTCTGCCTGGTGAGTTTCATTTAATACATACACTTCATTTTTCTGTTACATATTCACCCACTTCTTAAAATGAGAGTAAACTTCATGGCTGGATGGTGGTTGCCATTCCCAAGAACATAGCTAGTTTGATAGAGCATTGAAAAGCTGAGGACATATTTTGATTTTCTACGGTTGTGGTAATTAGTTGGCACGTAAGCTGGCTCAGACACCCACAGTTACCACAAAAAAATAGATCAAGGACTCCTGTTATGGCATTGAAATATTTTTGTTTGAGAAAGTGCATTTAGCATGACCATTGCAAATCATAGAGTTTACTAATCGGTGGTAAATTAGCCTCTTCTGAATTAGGATGATAAGTACCACCTTGGTAACTTTTTGATCTTTTAATACACTTTGCTAGCTCAAAGAAATTTATGGTTCTGATATGTAAATAATGTCCATTTGGTACTTTGGAATCTTTAGATTAT